GCCTCTAGTCTCTTTGCCGCAGCTTTCAAAACTCATGCCTCACTCATGAAAGTGTTGGTACCACTATACCATAGATAACCTTTTCTTTCCACTAATTCTCAACATACCACCTACCTTCTTCCCTTCCTCTATTTTATTGTTCATGTCTTTCCTAAACCCATCTGGCATGCCCACTCCCAGATGTCTAAATACATCCATTTTCTTCATACTCTCTCCAGTCTGATATTCAATATCATTGCTTAGACTTTTTTATTTCACTCATCATCTTGCTTTTTTTCTACAGTTACTTTTAATTCTTCTTTTGCATACTCTTCCAGATTCATTCACTAGCCTTTTAACTTTAAAACAGTCATCAGAAAAGAGCAACTTGGATAGCTTCCACTCTATATCAGATCCAACATTATTCACTCACACACCCGTTCCCAACACGCTAGCATTCTCTTCTATCACATCCTTGTCTGAATATTTTAAACAACTGTGGTGACATTGTGCATCCTTTTCTACAGTCCATTTACAGGAAAATAGTACTTCTCCGTCCTACTCTAAGCTTAGCCTCACGCTCAGCATAAAAGTTCATACATAATTTTAGTAACCCACAACCTATTCTTTACATTTGCAACACCTGCCACATTGTTTTCCTATCCACATTATCAATTTTTTTTTCTAGATCCACAAGTACAACAAACAGCTCTTCACTCTTAAATACTGCTCATACGTGCTTCAATGAAAACACTTGGTCTACACATTGTTCTTTCAACAAACTGACACAATACATGCTGCCCAAAGGACATTTATCCCATATAAGGAAATTAGATCGAATAGAAATGACCCCAGATGGATGAATAATATGCTCAAATATCTTTTAGGACAGAAGAAAGGAATTTATAGGCGTATCAAAAGAGGTGAGGGTCATCTTATGAATCAATATATTGACATTAAGAGGGACGTTAAAAAGGGGATAAAAAAAAGCTAAACAGGACTATGAAATTAAAGTTGCTAGGGATATGAAAACTAACCCAAAAGGTTTTTTACAGGTTTATAGAACAAAAGTTAGAGATAAGATAGGTCCCTTTAAAAATAACTGGTCATCTCACTAACAAGGAGAATGAAATGTGCTCTGTTCTCAATAATTATTTTCTCTCGGTTTTCACTCAGGAAGACAATGACAATATCCCAGTAATTAATTTTTGTAGTGGGCTTGAAGATGATAAATTATGCAATATCGCAGTCACTAGCGAAATGGTTATCAAACAGATAGATCGGTTAAAGCAAAATAAATCCCCGGGCCCTGATGAACTGTTTTCAAGGGTTCTTAAAGAGTGTAAAGTGGAACTCTGTGAACCTTTAACTAATATTTTTAATTTATCTCTTCAAACAGGTGTAGTGCCTGATATGTGGAAGATGGCTAATGTAATTCCTAATTTTCAAAGCAGGGAACAAGTCGTTACCGTCAAATTACCGCCCAATAAGCCTAACCTCAGTTGTAGCCAAATTACTAGAGTCAATTATAGCTAATAATATAAGAAGCCATCTCGATAGGCATAATTTGATTAATGATACTCAACATGGTTTCACCAGGGGCCGTTCCTGCCTAACTAATTTATTAACCACCTTCAGCAAAGCTTTTGCAGCCGTTGATCAGGATAAAGAATTCGATATTGTTTATTTAGATTTTAGTAAGGCTTTTGATAGAGTACCACATCAGAGACTGTTGAAGAAAGTAGCTACTCATGGCATTGGGGGAAAAATGCTGTCATGGATCGAGTCATGGCTCACTAATAGGAAGCAGAGAGTGTGCGTAAATGGGGTTAAATCTGAGTGGGGATCTGTAACAAGTGGCATTCCGCAGGGATCAGTTTTAGGCCCATTGTTGTTTATAATATAAACGACCTTGACGAGGGAATTACTAGTGACATAAGCAAATTTGCTTATGACACGAAGATAGGTAGGATAATCGATTCAGACGTTGATGTCTCACAACTTCAGGAGGATTTAAACAAACTCAGTTAGTGGTCAGAAAAGTGGCAGATGCAGTTCAATGTAGATAAATGTAAAGTTCTAAAGCTCGGAAATGTCCATAACCTTAGCACTTACCAGCTTAATAATGTTGAACTTAGCCATATAGAATGCGAAAAGGATTTGGGGGTTATGGTAAGCAGCAACCTTAAACCAAGACAGCAGTGCCTAAGCGTGCGTAATAAAGCAAATCGATTGCTGGGATTTATATCTTATATCAAGAAGTGTAAGCAACAGAAGTCCAGCGGTTATACTTCAGCTTTATACATGTTTAGTAAGGCCTCACCTAGATTATGCAGCTCAGTTCTGGTCTCCATATTACAGAATGGATATAAATTCGTTAGAAAACATTCAGCGTAGAATGACTAAATTAATACATAGCATTAGAAATCTTCCTTATGAAGAAAGATTGAAGACCCTTAAATTACATTCACTTGTTAGACGAAGAATGAGGGGAGACATGATTGAAGTGTATAAGTGGAAGATGGGTATTAATACGGGGGATATTAGTATCTTGAGGATATCTCTCTAGGAGAGAACCCGCAGTAATGGATTCAAATTGGACAAGTTTAGATTTAGAAGGGATGTAGGAAAGTATTGGTTTGGAAATAGGGTAGTTGATGAGTGGAACAGTCTACCTAGTTGGGTTATTGAGGCTAAAACCTTGGGTAGTTTCAAATATAGGTTGGATAAATACACGAGTGAGAGGGGTTAGATTTGAGTGGGACTTGCATATGAGAGTGAATAGAGTTATCAGAGCTTATTTCTTGGGTGGCATTGAAAATTAGGTTGGGCAAATGAACCATACCCCGGCCGGGGTATGGTTTGTTTGCAATCGTGTCATTACGATTTCGTGTGTCATGTTGGGCAAATGTTTTGTTAGTGGGATGGATTGTAAAGGACCTGTCAAGTATGGGTCAATAGGCCTGTTGTAGTGTTCCTCCTTTCTTATGTTCTTAAGTCCCACTGAGGCAGGGTGGCCCAAAAAGAAAAGCAAAAGTTTCTCTTTTTAACCTTAGTAAAGTATACAGGAGAAAGGGGTTACTAGCCCCTTTCTCCTGGCATGTTAATCGCCTCTTATGACACGCAAGGCTTACAGAGGAAGAATTCTGTTCCACTACCCAATGGAGATAAGAGGAAATAAACAAGAACAAGAACTAGTAAGAAAACAGAAGAAAACCCAAAGGGGGGTGTATATATATGCTTGTACATGCATGTGTAGTGTGACCTAAGTGTAAGTAGAAGTAGCAAGAAATACCTGAAATCTTGCATGTTTATGAGACAGAAAAAAGACACCAGCAATCCTACCATCATGTAAAACAATTACAGGCTTTCATTTTACACTCACTTGGCAGGACAGTAGTACTTCTCTGGGTGGTTGCTGTCTACCAACCTACTACCTAGGGTCTACTACATCTACCCTTCATAAATCCTCCTTACTCTTATAGTCTTACTTTGTGTGGCTTATAACCTTTTCAGTAATATTTTTACAGTAAACTTTATCTGGTATACTCAAGCTTTTATCTCTCCTACAGTTATTAGTTTATCATGTCCCCATTTCCCTTATATATTGGACAAACTTGCCAGGCACCCCAACATTATAGATATTGTTTAGCTGACATACTTAGAAGCATTCCAAATTTTGTTAAATGGTGACAAAGTAAAGCATATTTTTTGTATATGATTTCAAGTCAGGATATGTATCATGGTTTTGCTGAATAAATAAAATTTCAATGACCACTAGTATTTTTTTTAATGAAGTGTAGCATCTTAAAATGAGTTTGTTGAAATATAAGAAGAGAGGATTAGTTGCCCAGAAAGGATGGAAAAGTTGTATTGGAAGGGAGGGTTAATTAAATGATAGTGTGGATAAAAGTAACAATAAAAAAATAATGTAAATCAGTTACACCTATCTAATTGTAATAATTCACATATCCTATAGCATCTTGAAGTTACTGTACCACTTCCCTAGCAACATCTCCACAGCAGTCTCGGTTCTGTTTAATGGGCTACTGAGTGTGTATAGTAATATATCTTTGGATATATTTGTCGTTAAAGAGTGCCTCCTGTTGATTGTTATCAACACTATATCATTTCTGAAGCCCTGCTTTTGATCACTCCTCTCTAATACCATCAAGATTTTTAGTTTATTTAAATTATTGTATGTAGAAATTTCATGTTTTCATTATAGTAAATAATTGTATTGTTATATCATTAAGAAGTTCCTTTATGCATAAGAAGCAGGTGCAATATTATGCAGAATCTATAAAGATATATTTACTTCCATTCCTTAAGCTGTGGTATATTCAAAAGTTGCCTTAGAAATGTTGAAAATTTTAAAAAAATTTGAGGAGTATCTTAGTCTAGTTATTGTCGTTTAGATTACTTAGCTGTGAATATAGAGAAGGGAAAAGGTACAAGAGAATTGAATTGAAATGGAATTGTTTTGCAAGGAAGTTGGCATTTCAAGAAAAGAAACCAATAAGAGAGAATGGACTGTGATTATGACTGTTTACAATTTTTAAATATATTGTATGAATTGCTTCACATTCCCTAGTATCTGATTCTGAAATTGTTTCCCACATTGGATTGATGCAGAGTCTTAAGTGGATTCTCATTCTTCCTCTTGCTTGAAGGTTCGTTATTGCTTTCACTAGTATAGTGCATAGCCTCTGAATAGTTGAGCATTTGTGAATGATTTTGTTCTTTCTGAATAGTTGTGAGCATTTGTGAATGATTTTGTGTTTCTCATTGTACTGTACATATATCTAACTTCTTTAGTCCTTTTAAAATATTTCTCTAAATTTTAGGGTTTTCAACATTTTTGCCTTTCCTTTTTCTTTGTGCCCCTGCTCAGTCAAACCCATGCTGATGGGGGCTGTATATTTGTTGGTTGCAAAAGTGGTGGCGTGAAGCCTGGTGCCAAATTTTATTTCGGTTCGGCCATTGTGCCGTCTTAAGGGTGCCAGTGCTATGGCTTACAGGAGGTGACATCTACAAGACCGACGACAACAACAGTGGACTCTTCTCCGGGTTCCAGCACTCCTCCTTCAACATCATCTCCCTCAGGACCATCACAAACTTCGAAGAACCCCATTATGCTCTTAAATGAGTTAAGACAGGGTGTGGAGTATATGTTAAAACAAGAGTCTGGAGATCCTCATTCCAAGACTTTCACATACCAAGTTACTGTGGATGGACAGTTGTTTGAAGGCACAGGTATGATAGTCTGTATTTTACCATTATATTTTGAAGGGTAATGTTTGATTCATGTTTGTGTATCTAATTGTTATCTAATGATAATTTCCTTTAAAAGGCTGTCCATGACAGAAAAGCTCCCTGATCACCCTGTTTTAAATTGATTTGATTTTTTCGTCCTTCAGATTGATTAACATTGATAAACTTGGATATGTGTGTGTGTGCGTGTGCATGTGCGTGTGTGTGTGTGTGTGTGTGCAAACTGCATTTGTCTCTTTTTTTTTTTTTTTTTTTTTTTTTTCAAGATCTGACCCAGGTATAGATTTTTTTTATCTTGTGGTCACATTCCTTGTTTAGCTACAGAGACCAAAAAATCTAACTCATACAGTCTTTCCTTATTAAATCAACATTTGGCTCCATCAATATTCACAGCTTTCATTTTACTCAGTATTTGGATAGGTGAGGGTTCCACAGTGGCACTGTTCTGAATTAGTGGCTGATATGTGAAATTCCTTGGTAGGTATATTGTTTAGATTTATGAAGGCCATATAAATGTTTGCCAGATTTGTATGAACTGGTGTTATTCTGTTATTCAGGGAACTTGTTTTGTGTACTACTATAGGCTTTTTTTCTTGAATTCCATGTGTTGTTTTCTTCCAAGTGGTACTCTTTGCTCTTGTATCCTTTCTCGAGTTCCCAGTTTTATTACACTTTCTGGAGTTCTTTCTGCGGTGTTTTCTTTTTTTTTTTTTTTCTGTTTCTAACTGTTTCCCGCTGAGGCAGTGACCAAAAAATGGAACCGTTTTCAACATCACTCATTCTCGAATTGCTTACTATAATATAGCACAGTCTATCATTCTCATATTTCTTACAACTGTCCAGTACAGTATTTGGCACATCTTTGTTTTTACTACCTTTTTTTGGGCCATCCAGCCATCTCCCACCGAGGCTGGGTGACCCAAAAAAGAAAGATACACTTTCACCATCATTCACACATAATCACTGTCTTTGCAGAGGTGCCCAGATATGACAGCTTAAAATATTAAGATACAGTAGACCCCCGGTTTTCATCCTTAATCTGTTCCAGAGGTTGGCTGAAATCTGAAATGGACGAAAGCCGAAGTAATATTTCTCATAAGAAATAATTTAAATTCAATTAATCCGTTTCAAACACCCAAAAATATTAACAAAAAATAAATTTTATAGAGAATAGCTATAGTGTTGCAGCTCTTCAGTGGTTAGCTCTTCCCTGTGGTTGTCCACCAACTCTTCCACATCCTGGCCACTCGCATCTAACCCCATGGACTTCCTCAAAGCCACAATAGATTCCACAGCAGGCATAGGGTTGTCAAGTTTACACTAACTTATATTAAGTTAGTAATAGAACTAGGCATTAAAAAATGATAAAAAGCAAAGTACATACACAGTACATTCATTACTTACCTTAAAATATTTGTAGTCTTTATGTAGGGCGAGAGGTGAGTAGCATTTATTTGTAGTCCCAGGTGGATTAGTCCGCCTAGGCTATACCTACTGGCTACATACACTGCGGCCCACAGCCATATAATTACCATTGACATACCATGTTCACCGATTTTAATAGTTTCTAACAACTACCTTAGATGCCATCATAAACAAAAGGGAGAAGTAATGAATAATTCATGCCAAGAATTGTAAACAAAAGCGGAGTGGGGGAGTGACTGGGCCAGACGCAGATTCGTATACGTTTTCTCTAACGCTGGTACAGAAAAAGTGTAACGTTTTGCCTCCACTGACTCGCCCCTTGATAGCATATAAAGATTGCACGTTTATATGCTATGTAACGTGTTTCTTGTATAATTTTGAAGAGGATATCATAGATGGATTAGTGAAAATGTCTATATTAACGTAATATAAGACATTTAATGTGCCCAAGAGTGAGTCACGAACGTATGAGCAGCCCAAGCGCACATGTCTGGTATCAACGATTTCCGAGTGGATGTAATAAACCCGGGGGAAATTTCGCAGAAAAAAGTGCTTGAAATTCGGATTGTATGATTTCCGCACCAGATGAAAACCAGGGTTCCACTGCACTTACGATGTTAAGGTTAGGAATAACATGTTACTAGGCAAATCAATGGAAAGGCGATAATGAAAATTTTTTCAGTATCAGTTGCAGTAGAGACTACCTATAGCAACTGGAAGTTTATATGGTGAATTATATACAGTATTTATCATTAAAGGGCCTTGGGTCACAATTCTGAAGTGTATTCTGTATCTGTCTTCTTTCTTCCAACACACTGACTTATCCCACCGAGGAGGGGTGGCTTAAATGAAAAACTAAAGTTTCTCCTTTTACATTTAGTAATATATACAGGAGAAGGGGCTACTAGCTCCTTGCTCCCAACATTTTAGTCTCCTCTTACGACGCACATGGCTTATGGAGGAAGAATGCTGTTCCACTTCCCCATGGAGATGAGAGGAAATAAACAAGAACAAGAACTAGAAAGAAAATAGAAGAAAACCCAAAGGGGTGTGTATATATATACAGTAGACCGTCATTTAACACGGTAATTACGTTACTGAAAATGCTGTGTTAGGTAAAAAAACGTATGAGATGAACTGAAGAACTTAAGGGAAAAATAGGGTTACATTCCTGAGAGCCCCAAAAAAGTTAAACAACTTTTTTTTAGGCCTCCACATCTTACTAAAATAAAAGTGAATATGTAATTGTAGTTCATTGTTGTGATGTATTATGTTGTTTTTACTGCTTAAGACTACAAATGTAACAAAAGTAATAGTATTTCTTACTTTAAATTGTGGGTGCTGGTGTTTGTGGATGATTGTGAAGAGTGTGGAGAGTTAATGCTGTGGCCCTACTGGACTGAGGTGGATGGTAGAGGTTCTGGTACTGAAGTTGATGGTTGTACTGGAGTGTCTAATTTGTCATTCAGTCAGTCATGTCATTCAGTCAGTCAAGTCGATCAGTAAGTCAGTCAGTCACACAAACTTACGTTTACCTCTTTTTATGTGTACAAAGTAACACTTCATTATGGCCACAGGTTATATCTTGTCTAATATCTTTGTTTCCTTCGTTAATTCTAAGACTTAAGTGCTTACATCTTTTCTTGCCGCTTTGAGCAACACTGGTATGCCTACTGGGTGTTATGATTGCTTGGCAGATACAAGATGTAGCAATTAAAAGATCAATACACAATCACAAGCTTGTAGCAGAGAAGTTGGACTGGACACGTATGAAGTATGAATGCTGGGGTGGTGTCGGGGGGATGATGGCTGGGGACGGCGGGAGGTCTCCCCCTCTGATCCACAACAAGGTGGCCACTTGAGGAAAAGGGCAGTTTGTTTTCCTTCCCCCAAACTGAACCATGTTAAATTCATCTTACGACGTGTTACATAAAATTGTGCTGCAATTCTTCGATCGTGCTATACCCAAATCATGCCAAATAAACTCGTGCTAAATGACAGTCTACTGTATGCTTGTACATGCATGTGTAGTGTGACCTAAGTGTAAGTAGAAGCAGCAAGATGTACCTGAAATCTTTCATGTTTATGAGACAGATAAGACACCAGCAATCCTACCACTTGGCAGGACTGTAGTACCTCCCTGTGACTTTCTGCAGTGGTAACAGCAAAAATATTTTAACATTTGCAGCAAATTGCTGCTGCTTTCAGATGTCCTCAACATCTTGGGTATTCCAGCTTGTTCTGCCAGTGGGCATTCGTGTTGTAATACAGGCTTTTATAGGAAATAATGACAAGTTCTGACCATGCAGGTTGATGTTAGTAATAGATAATCGTGTATGAAGTCTGGTCAGCTATCAGCACTGTCCTTAGCCTCTTCTCTGAACTGTTTATTACTAATATCAATAAATTAGTTGTAGATATTTAGATCTTTTTAAGTGCACATAGTAAAAAAAAGAGTGGGTGAGATGTTATTAACAAATTTTGTTGAAAATAAGAAAAAGTTTTGGAGTGAGATTAACAAGTTAAGAAAGCCTAGAGAACAAATGGATTTGTCAGTTAAAAATAGGAGAGGAGAGTTATTAAATGGAGAGTTAGAGGTATTGGGAAGATGGAGGGAATATTTTGAGGAATTGTTAAATGTTGATGAAGATAGGGAAGCTGTGATTTCGTGTATAGGACAAGGAGGAATAACATCTTGTAGGAGTGAGGAAGAGCCAGTTGTGAGTGTGGGGGAAGTTCGTGAGGCAGTAGGTAAAATGAAAGGGGGTAAGGCAGCCGGGATGGATGGGATAAAGATAGAAATGTTAAAAGCAGGTGGGGATATAGTTTTGGAGTGGTTGGATGCAATTATTTAATAAATGTATGGAAGAGGGTAAGGTACCTAGGGATTGGCAAAGAGCATGCATAGTTCCTTTGTATAAAGGCAAAGGGGATAAAAGAGAGTGTAAAAATTATAGGGGGATAAGTCTGCTGAGTATACCTGGTAAAGTGTATGGTAGAGTTATTATTGAAAGAATTAAGAGTAAGACGGAGAATAGGATAGCAGATGAACAAGGAGGCTTTAGGAAAGGTAGGGGGTGTGTGGACCAGGTGTTTACAGTGAAACATATAAGTGAACAGTATTTAGATAAGGCTAAAGAGGTCTTTGTGGCATTTATGGATTTGGAAAAGGTGTATGACAGGGTGGATAGGGGGGCAATGTGGCAGATGTTGCAAGTGTATGGTGTAGGAGGTAGGTTACTGAAAGCAGTGAAGAGTTTTTACGAGGATAGTGAGGCTCAAGTTAGAGTATGTAGGAAAGAAGGAAATTATTTCCCAATAAAAGTAGGCCTTAGAAAGGATGTGTGATGTCACCGTGGTTGTTTAATATATTTATACATGGGGTTGTAAGAGAAGTAAATGCGAGGGTCTTGGCAAGAGGCGTGGAGTTAAAAGATAAAGAATCACACACAAAGTGGGAGTTGTCACAGCTGCTCTTTGCGGATGACACTGTGCTCTTGGGAGATTCTGTAGAGAAGTTGCAGAGATTGGTGGATGAATTTGGTAGGGTGTGCAAA